AGGTAAGTTGGGTTAATTGTAATTCAGTTTCTTGATTATTCATGACGGTAATCGTGGGTCTTCGGCCCGGATAGGCCGCTACGTGATTTGTTGTGAATTGTGAACTGAGATTTAAATTAAACTTATGTTATTGGTGAATATTGTGGATTACGAATAATATATGAGAAATAGGCCACCTAGTCTAATTAGGCGGGACCTGAATTGGATTGACTGATTGAATCACCAATAGGATATGGTTAGGAAATTGGCCATTGCGGGGCGTCGTCGCACCCCCGGTGGTCTTGGGTTAAAAACGTACGTACGGAAGTCCGCGACCTGTCCTGGCATCGTAGGGACAGGGGCTTCAACCCGCCCAAAGTGAATCTCCTTTGGGTTTCTGAGCTGGCCCTTTTATAGCATCGCTTGGGGTGCCATGACTCAAAGTAGTTGATGTGGAATAAAATAAGGACATGATGTTCAAATGAAAGGTGTTAATATAAATATGTTTATTTAAGCTATTTTTTTTCCTCCGTGATCACATGCTGTTGTGGATTGTATGTTAATGTGGTGCTATTCTGTGAGCTAATGCTGGCTTAGGTATATTTTCACTCAGCGTTTCGCTGAGCGTGTAGTCGTTGTTGTTTGACTGCACGCAGGTAGGAACACGGAATTTGATGGGCAACCCGGAGGGCAGTGAAGTGGTGGTGGCGTGGATGGCTCTTGTTTACTTTAGTAATAAAACTACATTGTTTTATTTGCTTATATGGATTGTTGGACGTTACTTTGTTTTAATTATGCTTCCGCGACTTTTGGACTTGTTTTATTACTCCGATAAATTTTGGTTTAGCTTTAAGCTCCCACGGATGAATTTATAATTTAATCAGTTGGTTATTTGTTTTTAAAAAAATTATGCATGCGAATACCAATTTAGTAACAACCCGGTTCGCTAACCCGTTGGTTCGGGTTACGCGGGTTGGGGTGTTACATCAGCCCACGAGTGAGGAGATCCACACATAGTTTTTAGAACCGAACCGGTGATCGAACCGGTCAAGGCACTGGTTAACTGGTTCACTGGTCGAACGAGTGGTTCAAACATCTTTAATATATATATATATATATATATATATATATATATATATATATATATAGAGAGAGAGAGAGAGAGAGAGAGTTTGGTTTCGGTGAGAATGAGATCTTACGAAAGAAATAAGAATGAATCTCACGCATTGGATGGAGAAAATTAGATATGCATACTATCAAACCTAGTAAGGGCAAATAAGTATTTACCGCTTATTTATGTTTCTCTCTACGATCTTCTCCGGGAAATCAGTGATTGTTTCTCTCTCTCTCATCTCCTTTCATTAGCGTGAGATCCTCTGATACATATCTCACAACCGTTCTAAAATTTTCTCAATATTTGTGTTTCAAAGTATGAATACCATAAATTGTATTCCTCATACTCATCTCAATTGAGAATCTCAGCGAAAAAGTCGTGCTTCCTTTTAAATTTACAGTGTGAATTCTTCTTGTTGTTCATGGCCGATCAGAAGTCGTTCCCCTTCAATTCCCAGTGTGGGTTCCTGGTTTTTCTCATTCTTTATTGTTCAATCTTTTTCTAGATTCTAAGAATTGGTTGATGTGTACAAATTTGCTTTCCCCGACCCTTCAATTCGTAGGATGATGTGCATAAATTTGTGTTCACTATGTTTTTGTAATTATCCCTCTCCACACTGGACTTTTAAGTATTGTGTTTTAATTTACTTTTTAGGATTTTGAGAAGTGATATTTTGATTCATTGTGTTTGTAATTTGAATTGCTAAAAGCAACAATTCAAGTTTGAATTTCATAATTGCATTCTTACTCCTTATATCTATTTTATGATTTTCAAACTTTGATTATACGATTTCCTTATTTTCTAGTGTTGATTTTTACATTCATAGAAGGTGATTTTCACATTTAGCTATATTGGGTTGTACAATCTGTATACTTAAATGCATTGTAATGCATTACCAAATGCACCATGAGATAGAAATTTATGCATGTAGACAGCAATATGGAAACAATGCTTATAGTGTGTTTTTTTAGTTTCTGATATGTTGTTTATTCTTTCTACTTACTCTTTATTTTTAATATTTGATTTGCTGGCTAGTTTTAACCACTGTAATCCCATTCATTTACTACTCATGATATTTTCTCATATATTCTTCTATTATTCTCATTTGGTGTAATTTTGTTTTGCTACAGATTGGTTTTTTTGCTTCTTAGCAAGTCTAATAAGATTTTGAATTGACAATTTGCTTATGCAAGTCTAATGGTTATGTTGAGGGCTATTGGGGCTGGTGCAATTTAACCTTATAATAGCAGTTTAGAATCTAGAGGGTCGGTAGGCATGACATTACTTGGGAGAGCTCTAACCATTGGATTTAGCTCAAGATGCAGCTCCCCTATTTTGATGCACATTCCTTTCAGTTGACTTTTATTACTCGGGAAGTGATGTTATTTAGAATAATTAACACATTTTTATTTTAAGTATAAATCAGTCTAAAGTATTTTTTGCCTATTAGCTCAAATGGTAGAGCAATATGCACTTGCATATAGATGTGGTTTCGAATCCCGCATAAGCAAACCATTGATTACTTTATGTATGTAGTAGGGTCACTACTTTGCTATGATCTATTTTGCATAATACTTTTTCAGTATTCTATTTTTACAAATTACACTCTAACTATAATGAGTAAAACCGATACAAGAGAAATAAAATATTATTGCATCAAGCACAACCAGAAAATGCTATACAGAAGCTTAGGAATGTAGTATACAAATATGAAATGCAATTATGTTCATATATGCTCATTTAGTATAAAAAACAAAAATGGTCTACAGGCACAAATAACTCACAAAGCATGAACACGCTGCTGAGTTATGACAAAGTAAATATTGTCAAATGGAATTACTTTAAAACATTGATTCAGTTATGAGTTGGAGAGTGCAACTCTGAAGTGTCTAAATGTTATGCCGATTAAATATATGCATTGCATGCTAAGATCGTGAAATTATTTGATACCAAAATATCAATATGCAATACACAAAAATTATATATGTAGTGTAACTTATCAAAAAACATTACTTCAAAGTCGTAAATATTGAACAAAAAAATTGTCTTTTTGAGCACATCACTCTTTTGAATTGGTTAATATTAATCATTAAACCTTAAAATACATCTGAACATAAAGAATTCTAAAAAGTAATTATTCTCATCTGAATACTACTGCAAATAAAACTCGTTCTCAAAAAGCATATTTTCTCCAAAACATTTAGTTAAGCATTGAGATCAATGCATGAAATGATACTTAAACAAATATTTAGCAATTTAAGAAATATGAGTAAAACCCCTAATCTCTTAGCATACTATTGTCAAACAAAAAAACAATGTTTGGGAGCAAAACCAAATTCAAAAGCAAAAATTGTCTTCATAGAAAATAGAGCAACACAAATCCTAGGACAATCACCACTAAAGGACTCGTATTTATCTTCTACATTCTCTATCTCGTCTTATACATCTGAGCACTCTACATACATCATCACCATCAGTTAGACTCTGCTCTAATTCTTCAAGTTATTAAGTCTGCATTTCACCCACTGTTTCATCCTCATTATTCGCATTCTTTGTCTCATGATTTGCACTTTGACCTTCTCTACCCTCATGCCTTTTTTAATGTTTTAGCACCAACATCAGAGTCTTGTCCTTCAATGTCAATCTGTATTGAGCCATATTTGCTTGACATACCTACCAAAAGCAATGAATGCAAACCTGACAAACAAGATGCATATTACACTTTTACTTTTAAAAAAATCAATTCAACTCTATCTTTCCACACTTGTATTTAAATTGGGGATGTAGATGAATGCAAATCAAAACATACATGATGTATAGCTTTTTTATGGAGTATTTCTAAATGGAAATTTCCAATTCGGTTCACATCATGGTAATACACTTTTATACAGTCTAGGATGTGTCCAGATCATTCAAGAATGCAAAGTTACACTTGAAATTGAACCTCTGATCTCCTCCATAAGCTGCTCAACAACGCACCCCTCCTCGATGTAATTATTTACTTAAAGCATCAGAATCATTTCATTGATGCACTTTAACATCCACATATTGCATAACTAACACTTCATATTGAACCCAAAATACTACCCAAACCACCCAAACATGAATTAGACGACATCCAACAAAATAATTTTCTGTCCAACCCTCACACACACTTAGACAAATTGGGAACATTTCCCCAAATAAAAAATGCACAACATTTCATCAAGCAACACGGGTTAAGACTTGAAAATGCAAGAAAACATTAAATTTTATGCATCCAATTAACTAAAAAATGCTATATAAATATTATGCATATTAAACATCATGGATTGCAACTCACAATAGAAGATTAAATCCCTCTTTTAATTAACTTAACAGTCTCACATATTTCATAATATATGCAATTTAAGTTTACGAATACAATTGATGCATTTTCACAAACACATACTGCATAACTATCAATTCACTATGAACCTGAATTTTACCACACCGACCCAAAGTTTAATCAGACCATGTACAAGTGCACAATCTGACAATCTTATAGGTTCACCAATAAACATCTTAAAATAGCCATTCGTACCCCTATTTTTTTGTTGGGTTTGTGGAGGCTTGGGCTTGATTTGTAGGCCCGGCCCGTTTGTTGTAACCCTAGTTGCGCTCTTCCTATATATATTGCATACTTGTACTTGTAATCGGCACCACAAGTGAAATAAGAAAATCCTCCTGTTGCAGCCGTGGATTAGGGAAAACGAACCATGTTAAATTCTTGTGTGTCGTTTGTGTTCCGTTTCTCTCTTTTCTCGCAGATATTTGTGTGTGTTGTGTGTTGTGTTTTATTCCCAACAAGTGGTATCGGAGCCAGGTTTGTTCAACACGAACACAAATTGCGAGTTGTCACCTAGGTTTTTTTGGGATCTGTGTGCGTGCGCAGCCGCCTGGAGTTTTCCGCTGGAGATCTGAACGAGTCCGTTCGCGCGCAGAGGAGATCTCAAAATTGTCAATTTGATCTCGCCCTGCCGCCGAAGAGCGTGTGAGGAAGAAGATTCGCGGCCAGCGAATCAGCGTGGCCGCAAAGGGCACAGCAGCCGCGTCGAAGCAGCGGAGCGCCACCGCCAAGTTTAAGGAGCCACCGCCGTCCTCAGTTGACGCCTCTGGTTCGAGGAGATTGCCGTTCAGATCGTGTCGCCGCCACTGGGTTGAGGATCCGCCGCCGCAGTCGTATAAGCCGCGCACAGCTTCGCCGGAGAACACAGGACAGCAGCCCGTAGAGAGCAGCCGCCGTCCAGATTGCACGCCGTCCAGATTTGCCGCCGCCGCCGCCCGTTAATCTTCTGAAGCCCTGCGAAACAAGGCAAAAAAAAGGGCAGTTTCCGTTTCTCGCCAGGTCCGAAGGAAAAAGGGGTTTCTTTGCTGGACAGAAGAAAGAGAAAATTTTGGGTCGTGTGTTTTTTTTTGGTTTGGGCTGATTTTTGAGTTGGTGTGGTGGGCCTAATTTTCTGACGAAAAAATATCAAGATCAGAAATTAGTTGTACCGGGTATTTCGTCTAGTCGTTTGAGATGGCAGAAGATGGAAAGTTCCGAATTGAGAAGTTCGATGGTACAGATTTCAGTTGGTGGAAGATGCAAATTGAAGATTTGCTGGTTCAGAAAGATTTGGACGTGGTTTTGGGTGACAAGCCAGAAAAGTTGTCAGATGCAGATTGGGCAGGTTTGGATCGGAAAGCTATGTCCGTGATCCGTTTCTCGTTGACCAAAAATGTTGCGTTCAACATTCTGAAGGAGAAGACAGCGAAAGGAATTATGGAAACGTTGTCTAACATGTACGAGAAGCCATCTGCAGCGAACAAAGTTTTTCTGATTAGAGAGCTGGTGAACACAAGAATGAAAGAAGGCACTTCAGTTACCGAGCATATCAACAAGTTGAATTCGATCTTAGCCAGACTTTTTTCAGTGGGCATTAAGTTCGATGATGAAGTTCAAGCTTTACTACTACTATCGTATTTACCTGATAGTTGGTCCAAAACGGTTATAGCGGTTACCGGTTCAGTGGGACCTGATGGATTCACCTTTGATCAGATTCGAGATCTCGTTCTTGGCGAGGATGTCAGAAGAAAGAGTTCAGGAGAGTCATCTGGTGAGTTGCATCATGTTGGCAGAGGCAGAAGGATTAGCAAAGGTAGTGGGAGCAGGAACAGACAAAGGAGTCAGTCGAAGACTCGTGACAGCTCAGGTGTAACGTGCTGGAAGTGCAAGGAGGTGGGGCATTTTAGGAATCAATGTCCGAATGACAAGAAAGTGAACATTGCTGAAGGCTCCGCGAGTGATGAAGAGGTCCTTCTAACTTGTTATGCAGAGAGCAGTGTGGATTCCTGGGTCATGGATTCTGGTGCTTCATTTCATGCCACCCACAGCGGTGAAGCATTGCAGAATCTGGTTGTTGGGGACTTTGGAAAGGTACGACTAGCAGACGACAGAGCTCTTGAGGTGACGGGCATGGGTGACATAGTGTTGAAGACCTAAGTCGGTCTCTGGACTTTGAAGGATGTCAGAGTGGTTCCAGCCTTGAAGAAAAGTTTAATTTCTGTCAGGCAGTTGGACTAACAAGGACACGAGGTGAAGTTCAGAGATGGGCAGTGGAAGGTCGTGAAGGGAAATCTTGTCATGGCCCGCGGAAGGAAGAGTGGTTCGTTGTACATGGTCGGGTTACCGTCTGAGGGAGTGACCGTCCCAGTTCAGAAGAGAAACAAAGTCTGGTTCACAGAGTCTCGTGGGCAGAATAAGGTTGTATATGCAAGAGAGAAACCTAGAGCCACAGGTCAGACTCAGGATGAACGAGCGAGGAAAGGTTCAAGGGGGCCAGTCAGAGGTATTTGTGGTAGTGGGAGCTCAAGAGGCGCTTCAGCCAAGTTGCCTAGAAGACAGTGGGTCAAGAGAACCAGTATTTCAGCTATTGGAACATCTCCATAAAATTTCTTGCTGAGTACGGAGAGTGTTTGTTCTCAGGATGTTCCAAGATCCGGCAGTATGCGTCTGCAGTGGGAGCCGGTAGGGACCGAGGACGAGTCAGTGGCAGATTTAGCCATGACTGATGTGTTGGAGCTTGGGAGAGCTTCAACGGGCCTTTCAGTTGTCTGATGAGAGGGCCGCTGCAACAGGAGAGCTGAGGAAGATTACTCGATGTACAAGCAATCGCGGCGGATGGCAGTTGATGACTATCAAGCCTCCAAGTGGGAGAATGTTGGGTTTGTGGAGGCTTGGGCTTGATTTGTAGGCCCAGCCCGTTTGTTGTAACCCTAGTTGCGCTCTTCCTATATATATTGCATACTTGTACTTGTAATCGGCACCACAAGTGAAATAAGAAAATCCTCCTGTTGCAGCCGTGAATTAGGGAAACCGAACCACGTTAAATTCTTGTGTGTCGTTTGTGTTCCGTTTCTCTCGTTTCTCGCAGATATTTGTGTGTGTTGTGTGTTGTGTGTGTTATTCCCAACATTTTTTCCGCGTGCATCATATCTTGCACATGATTCCTCGTCGATGCATCATCATTCTCTCTTCTGGAATCCTTCTCCACCGTCGTTCTAATAGTCTGCTATGATCCTCTTCGTTGTTGCATCATCATTCTCTCTTCACGGTTTCCTCTGTTGCTTTAGTCGGTGGTGATTTCTAGGTAGTCAACACTTTGTGAAGTATGGTGCGGGAACAGGACTTGAGGAGATCGGTGGTCTAGCGGGGTGGAAAACTGCCATTTATGTCTTGTGTCGAAAGTCTTCCCGGCAAGAAGAGGTCGGGCGGCGTGTCCCGCAGGTGTTTTTGCGGTGGTGCAAGATGGGCGGATCGAAAGAAGCTAATTGCTAGATGGGTGGTCTCAGAGAGTGCTAACAAAGGTGAGTTGTCATTTTTTTAGCTCGGGGTGGAGGGTTAAAACTCTAAGGAGCTAAGGTAGTGGCGGTGATCTTGACGGGTTGGTTGAGATGGAGCCACGGGTACAGGGATAACTAGAAACGGTGAGGACCTTGTCGTATTGAGCAAGATGAGGCCACGACCATGAGTCAAGACATGGTGGCGGAGAGCTTGCGGTATTGAGCAAGATAGGGCATGAAAATTTTTTCAAGGTGGTAGTATTCTTGGTGGTTGGATCAAGGTGGAGCCACGATGATTTTTTTTCTTCTTTGAGGTTGGCAGCGGTGATCTCGGTGGAGCAGACTGAGATGGCGCCAAGGATATTTTTTTTATTTCGGAGTAACAGTGATCTCACCGGAGAAGTGAGGTGGAGCTACAAAGTTTTTTTGATTATTTAATCAAGGTGGAGTTTGTTGGGAAATATTGATTAAATATTCAAGAAGGAAGAAAAAGAATAAAAAAAGGAAATAAGAAAGAGGACAAAGAAGATAAAAAAAGGAAGATATGGATGGTGGATGCATCCATCATGCATGCATGTGATTGGGTTCTCTCTTGTAGCAAATTGATTGGGGGCAAATTATGCTTCCCTTTGCCCTTTAAAATGGAAAGGCTACGGAGTATTTGTGTGTGTGTGTGTGAGTTTTACACACCACCAAGGTAGAGAGAGAAAAAGAGGAATTTTACACAAGAATACCACCGGGAAAATCCAAGGGGTCTTGGTGAGTGTGGGTGAGTGTAGGGAGTAACTGGTTTTAGTTACTCGAAAAAATACATTCGGGCATAGGATATGGAAAGATCTGTTTATGAGTGTCTGGAATTTAGCCTTGTAAACAGGGAGAGAGTTTTTTTGTATATTGTCCTGAAATAGTGGAAATATAATTTTTTTTCTCTCATTTCTTCTTCTTGTGTTTGTTCTCTCATTTTTCTGGTGTATTAAATATTTACGGTGTCTTACGCGCTTAAAATCCCAACAACATCGTCTCTCTACACTATACTTTGAAATTGATCGGATTGCTGAATAGTTAAAGAAGCAAAGTAGTTTAAGAAGGTCTCCGCAGTTCCGACTTGGTAAGAGAGGAAAAAATGGGTGGCGCATAATTAGCATATCACGTTTTTTTATGGTGCAACAACTTACCCAAAATGCCCTCCTTGGATGTTTCCTCCCTATTTTAATGCACCCTAATAATTAGTTTCCTAATGATGCAGCAGATTCCGGATCCCATGAGATTTAATCTAGGCCTCATGATGGAGCAAATCCAAGGACTCTCATTTATTCTCATTTCTTTCACCAAGGTCCTTTCTCACAGGAACCGGCCCATATATATATATATATATATATATATATATATATATATATATAGACACGTTTTGGCATTGAATTAAAAAACTAATATATGAGTAAACAAAAAATATTTCCTCTATTTATAAATAAATAATTGATGTTTGACTAAATTTATAATTTACTCGAGTTGTGTCATCACATATTTTAAAATGCTTATAAATAAAAAGTGATTTCATTTTTCTGAAACATTTTACCTAGTATTTAAAATATATATAAACAAAATATTTGTGTGATATGCACTTCATCTCAATTATATCAATGTGTTTTGAATTTTAGTTAAAAAACTCTCTATATTTTTAAAAGTATTTGATAAAGAATTTTGTAGTTACAGAATATTAAAGAGGAATAGCAAGGGATCAACACCAAGCATTGTAGCAGAGATGGTTTGATGCTTGCTCTATGCGGCCATGAGGTTGTTGGTTTGAATCCTTGCATGTGCGTTTTTAAAAAAGTTTGCAAAAAAATAAAAAAACTGGTTCTGGCCGGTTTTCTCCGGTTTTAACCAGTTTTTACTGGTTCAATGCCGAAGCCGGTCTAATTGCCCGGACCGGACCGGTTTGATGAGCGGTTCACCGGTTCCCGGTCCGGTCCGGTTTTTAAAACTATGGATCCATATTTCATATGTGAAATTCAGGATAATAAAACACAACTCTTTACTCTTAGATCATGTTCTCCTCAATTTATTTTTATTATTTTTTCTTATTAGAATCAGATCAGACATGACATAAATAATTTTAAATATAATTATATTAGGATCGATCAGACTAAAGCCCCGTTCCCGTTCAACTTATTTTTTCTTATTTTTTCTTATTCTTATTAAAATCAGATCAGATCAGATCAGATCAGACCAGATCAGATCAGATCGAATCAGATCAGATCAGATCCAATCAGATCAGATCAGATCAAGACTTATTAAAATAAGATCTCATCAAGAATTATTATTATTATTATTATTATATTATTATTATTATTATATTATTATTATTATTATTATTATTATTATTATTATTATTATGATCATCATCATCATCATCGTCATTATTATTATTATTATTATTATTATTATTATTATTATTATTATTATTATTATTGTTCTTAAAAATGAAAAAGAATAAACTTTAGAAATAGGTTAAATAAAAAGCTCTCTTTCATTAGGAATTAATAATCTGCAGCCTTTTTAATCAAAATTTTATGTAACTGTTACAGTTAGATTAAGATGAAAATTTTATATAAAAATAACGATGATGTAATTTGAGTTTCTAAACTTTTGATCTTTTATAAGGATGAGATATTTTAATAAAAATACTATCTCTTCTATATATTGATTATCTAAATTTAATTATTTTTAAATGTATATCTAAATTAAATATTCATTCCAATGTATAATTCTAATTTTACAAAAAAATTATCATAAAATAAAAAATATTATTACATTATAATATGAATGATTATTCTAATATATGAATTAACTATTTTTATTTTATTAAAAAGGAATCATTAAATAAAAAATATTGATTATATTATAATATAAATTATCATTACAATTTTCAAACGTTATTATAAAGTCAAATTAAATTATTGATTTGAAATTTTAAATTAAATCATAATTAATCAGATCAGACCAGATCAGATCAGATCAGATCCAATCAGATCAGATCCAATCAGATCAGATCAGATCAGATCCAATCAGATCAGATCAGATCAGATCCAATCAGATCAGATCAGAACAGATCAGAACTTATTAGAATCAGATCAGATCAGAAAAAATAAGTTGAACGGAACGGAGCCTAAATCAGATCACATCAAAGCTTATTCCAACTCGATGAGAACAGTTTAGGCAATGAGAAGTTTAGTCTTTTTTCTTGTTTATTTTCAAAAAGGTTTTCAACTATTCTTCGAAGGCCCCACTTGATTACCTGAGTTTCATCAGACTCCTCAGCTTCGCGGTATTTCTAGTTTTCTACAATTCTAACATTCTTCAAACTCTCAATTCCTACATAATCTGTTCATCCACTTTTCCTTTCCTCCTTTACTATCTTCGTGATCGTCCCTAGAAAGAAAGAGAAAAACTTCTTCCCTAAGCAAAACACCAAACCCTAGGAATTTCCATATTATTATTCTCTCTTCGTACAGCTTCAGATAGCGGAACTTGTTTGCAGCGAGTATCTGGTAATTATGGCATTGGTTTTGGATAATTTGGTCAACACTGTGCTGAGATTAGGTGCGCATATATCGGACGACGATCAGGGCTCCGTACATTCCATTACTTTATTCATATCACTACTCTGCGCCTGCATTGTCATTGGTCATCTTGTTGAAGAGACTCGGTGGATTAATGAGTCCGTTACTGCCCTTTTTATGGTGAGCGGCGGTTGCCCGCCAGAACTGTGGATACTTGTTTTTGGTGATGCTAAGAAATATAATGGGTGTTTCTATTTGTTGCAGGGTTTATGCGCTGGAGGAATCATTCTACTGACTAGTAAACGAAAGAGTTCTCGTATACTGGAATTCAATGAAGAACTCTTCTTCATATATCTTCTACCACCTATTGTATTTAATGCTGGGTGAGATTTCTCGTTACTGGGATTGCTTTTTTAGCATCACAAACACATTTGAATGGGTGATTTGTTTATTACTCATGAAGTTCTATTTCAAACCTAAACTTTTTCCCCCTTGATTTCCCAGGTTCCAGGTGAAAAAGAAGCAATTTTTCCAAAATATCACCATCATTATGCTGTTTGGTGCCATTGGTACCCTAGTATCCTTCTGTATTATTTCATTGGGTATGCTTTTGCTTCAACAGCTATCTTCAATCATCCAACTAAAAGTTGTTTCTGGACCACTTTCTCTGAAATTTGTAGTTTTAAACACGTTTCTAGCTAATATTGATCATACCTTAAATTTTGCTTCAGGTGCCAAAGAGTTATTTCAAAAGATGGACATTGGTTATTTGGAGCTACGTGATTATCTTGGTAGTGCTCCTTTCAGTGATTTGTTCATTCGTAATGCTTTGTATAGTGATGCTTTGTGTTTTCAACTTCTCCCTCTTTTTTGAATAAGCTTTCATCTGAATTTGTGATGTAGCTATGCTAGTTTGATATTTCCACTTTTCCCCTTAGGTAGACATTGGTTGTTTGACATCTCAATTGCTACATAGTCCATCATTTTATAATACACGATATCTATTATGGAATCCCTGCAACCTTAGAAGACATGCTTTTTGTTAAATTGCAGCTATTGGAGCTATCTTCTCAGCAACAGATTCTGTTTGCACCTTGCAGGTATGGCATAGTTGGACCACCAGTTTATTTTAAAATTTCTTAGAAGATTATTCATGAATAATGATTTCATTAGCTGAGCATTTGGTCTTACTGGCAGGTGCTCAATCAGGATGAAACACCCTTGCTGTATAGTTTAGTTTTTGGAGAAAGTGTTGTAAATGACGCAACTTCTGTTGTACTTTTTAATGCCATCCAAAAAGTTGACCTCTCTAACATTGACTTTAAGGCGACCTTAAAGTTGACTGGCAATTTTCTGTATTTATTTACAGCAAGTACTCTTCTAGGAGTTCTGGTAAGTTTTCCTCTCTTTCTGTACTATTTGTAGTGTTGAATTGTCAATTCTAGATTTCTACAATAAGCACATATGTTATGAAGAATATATGCCTTTTCTTTTGGATTATATTTTGTTTCATAACAATAAGAAATCCATATCTTGTAACCTGAGACGTAATACATAGCACATTGAATAACCTCCACTTAAATGGCCAAACACTTCCAGTTGTCTCGAGTATGCTTTATCTAATTAGAAAAGATGCGTGTTTGAAATTTGTAGGTTGGGTTGCTAAGCGCGTACATAATCAAGAGGATATATTTTGGCAGGTGTAGTAATTGTTTATTTACAGCAATATGCTATGATGCAATACATCTCATTATTAGTAACGGATTCTTTTCCATTCGGGATATGCTTTTGATGATTACTTATTCTGCTGTGGGATCACCGGGAGCATGTACTTGGTACTCCAGAGATAGTCCAACATCTAAAATATATTGGATCACTTATTTTTCAACATATGTAATGTATGATCTATTGGATGCAGTAACTAGTTGGCTTCTGCAACTGATTGTTTTCAATGTCACAGGCACTCAACTGATCGCGAAATTGCGCTCATGATTCTCTTGGCTTACCTTTCATATATGCTGGCTGAAGTATGTTCTATTAATACAATTTTGTAGATTTTTTAGGATGATAATAATTGCTTTTGTGCTGGTATATTCAGATTTCAATGGTTTTCCATGCTTTTGTATAATGATCACCTTGTCTTTCAGCTATTTGACTTGAGTGGAATTCTCACTGTATTCTTTTGCGGGATCGTCATGTCACATTATACTTGGCACAATGTGACCACAAGTTCTAAATTGACAACAAGGTATGTTAAGTAATTGAATTATAAAATCTATAACAATGGAAAGAGTTATCCCACGAATTTTAAATAAAAATGTATAAATTCAGGCATAGCAGGAATCTGTTATTTTATGTAGAATTCAATGTTTCTCTCACTGTTGATCTTGGGGGTTTGTTAATCATGCATGTTGAACTAACTACCTAATGTCACGATCTCTCTCTTTTTTTCTCTGGTTTTTTATGCAGGCATGCTTTTGCAACGTTATCATTTATTGCTGAAACATTCATCTTTCTATATGTTGGTATGGATGCTTTGGACATGGAGAAGTGGAAGCTTATTAGTGACACGTAAGATGCTAGTCTATTAAATTTTCTTAGAAGTAACACAGGCATTGCTATCCTACTAATCTACTAAGGAACGGTGAAGTGGCATTGATTTTGTGCTTCAGTTGTAGTATTGCTAATCTTCTTTTACCCAAACGTTCAGTCCCGGAAGTTATGTTGGAGTAAGTGTTGGGCTACTCGGACTTGTATTGGTTGGAAGAGCATGCTTTGTCTTTTTACTATCCCTCATATCTAATTGCACAAAGCAGTCGAAGAATGACAGAATTAATTTCAAGCAGCAGGTCATATTTTATAGCTCCATATGATTTACGATAAATCTCAAGTTGTGGTTTTAATGAGAACTACTCCGTATTATAATACCCATAATCCAGATATCCCATTGCAGGTAGTAATTTGGTGGGCTGGTTTGATGCGAGGAGCAGTTTCTATGGCATTGGCTTATAATCAGGTATGCTGAAGAAGAATTGCAATAAGGATGTCTGTTAGACAAGCCCTTTTTGGTAATTATGCTGAACAACCTCTAGAACACTGATTAAAACCTGATCCTTGTTTTTATTGCCAGTTCACTCGGTTTGGCCATACACAACAGCCAGGGAATGCTATCATGATCACTAGCACCATCACTATCGTCCTCTTTAGCACAGTGGTAAAAGAATTTGATCCCTAATCCTACAGTTCCAACATGTATGATTTTTTTTAAGTAAGCGAATATTTTTTAGGTCTTCGGGCTGCTGACCAAGCCTCTTGTGAGGTGCTTGTTGTGGAGCTCATTTTCTTCTGAAGCATCGGTTGTGCTCCCGCTATTAAGCTCTGCACATCTATCAGACACTGTGCATGAGATGGGCAGTGGGAGTATTCATCGACGACCAAGTTTTTGCATGTTTCTGAGCCAACCTACTAACATAATTCACTACTACTGGAGGAAGTTTGATGATTCGTGCATGCGGCCTGTGTTTGGAGGGAGGGGATATGTATCCAGCGATCTTGGCTCTCCGAAGGAAGATATCGTTCACTAACCACTTTCAGAAAGCAACAACCTGCTAAAACTGTGTTCGTGTTGCTCTCAGAAGGATATGCATATGCAGCTCACAATATATATGTATATATTGATTGACAGACATGTTTGTGTTGCTCTTCATTTGTATATATTGACAGAATTAGGTCACATTATATGACGGAGTATTTGACCCAGTAGTGGACGTTTTCTTTTTTCAATTTCAAATGGGGAAGTTTATTTATTTATTACTACCTGTTTTCATTAGCCATTTTTATTTGTCTCTCATAGATCATTTCATTACCTTGTTTAACATTTAAAATACTAGAGCTACTTCTATTTACATTATTTATTACACTATTTACACCTCACATATCTCACTTAATACACTCTATCTATTTTCATTAAGAATATTTTGGTAAATTTTTTCCTTTAACTTTTTTTTTAAAACTTAAAAAGTCAAAACGAGAATATCTTAAAGAGACGGAAGGAGTATAGAAATACAATAACTCTCTTAAAGCCCGTTGAGCCGAGAGCCCGAGACATGTAAATCTCGTGATCATAAAGCCCACACAAAGCCGCATAAGAGTCCTGCAATTTTTTGGCCCATTTAATTTTTTTTAACTCTAAATAATTCCCTTTTAAAACTTTAAAATGAAACCATGATCAGACCATCTCCAATAGTCTACTCCAAACTCAAACTAAAAATACAGTATGTATCAAATTTAACTGTAAGGCCCCGTTTGGTACACGGAATTCAAACTATGGAATTGGAATTGAGGACTTCAATTCCAAATCTCGTGTTTGGTAGCACAAAAATTATGCATATTTGGAATTAGTAGTTTAAAAAATGAATTGGAATTGGTGAATTCAATTCTATAAAATTGAATCGCGTGGAATTTTAATTCTAATTCCATCAATTCCGTATACCAAACGGACTCTAATTCTACTCCAACGCATTACACCAAATTCAAACTCATAAAATTATATTCACAATATATAACTTTTTTCCTTACCAAAAAAGGAGCGCACTGCACCGCTGCAAAAAAGATCCCAAAAGCAAATTTAACAAAAAAACAATGTTCTGAAAATTGGATCGGACATCAGCCGGACGAGGGATAAATCCGAGGGTCAACCACCCGGTCAACATTAATTAAAAAATTAATAATTTATATTATATTATTAGGTATTTTAGTTTTAAAAGTATTTTAATTTGTATTTTTTTTACTTCTCCATTTAGTTTTTAATATAATTGTGCATTTACAATTTCACACTTGGTTTTTTATCATATTATCTGATGTAATTGTTACAATTTAAAAATGAATATCTACAAGTACTTAAATAATAAGACAATACTCATAATACTCCGTCTTTTCAAAAATGTACATACTAGATAATGTGCTCTTATATGCTCTTGTCATTGTAAAATGTATACATAATTTATTTAAATGATTGAAAAATATAAATATAATGCATATTGAGTTAGGTACTATATATATATATATATATATATATATATATATATATATATATATATATATATATATATATATATATATATATATATATTGGAGTAAAAATAAATCATGCTTAAAATTTTTTGAAGTATTTTAAAAGTTTGTAAAGTAAATAAAATAGAAAAGCAAACATGCCAAAGAAAAAATCTACACTTCATAATTAAGTTTTTTGGGTTTTCCCATGTATTATAATGAATATTTAAACATTTTGCTGGGTTCTATCTACAAAAACACGAGTAGTTTAGTTGCTAAAATGGGGCTAGCATAATAGGGAGGTTAGTGGTTCGATGCGGTTCGAAGCTCTTCACATGATTTTGAAATTTTAGAAGTTTGAACAATTGGATATAGCCCAAACCCGTGAACCGGTTGGGCCAACCCGAGTCACCCGATTTGCCTACCGGTGAGAATTGGGAACCAATTGGCAAGGAAGGAGGTCCGCCTCGTTGAGGAACTCAATCAACAACTAGTGGAGAGGAAATCGCAGCCCCTTCTTCAGAGATGCCAGATGAACTGTAAAAAACCCTGAAGGGGACTCGGCTGGCAGCTGGCAGAGCCAATTTACCGGAGGAGACTCGGCTGGAGGACGGAGACGAAGCCGGAAAAAGAGGATCGCGCTAACGGCGGAATAGACCCCCTCTAATTACGAATTACCTTAATTATCCAAAATCCATGTATAAAAAAAGGGGACCCGAAAGGGGAATCCTCAAGGTGAATCAAGCTAATAATACACACAAATAATTCTCGAGTTCTCGTTCTTATTTCGTTCTTGTGATCCATTCTTCTGAATTGGATCGTCCGGTGGATTTATTATCCATCAGGGCGTCCAGAGCAGTTTGGGTGCTAGTAGGCCAAAGGACTTTAATAGAGGGTCCAACCATGTCAGTGGCATTGGCGAACCCCCAGTCAGTGATTTGACAATGGCACAACGCCATGATGCTCTCGTCAAACCAAACCCTCGAGCCGCCCCGCGCAGGGGTCGAGGGAGGAAATTGCTTCCTCAGCTGGTGTCGCTTTTGGCCGGGCACGACCACCGGCGATGGCTGAGGCGATTGGGTCTGACCTTGGTCATGGCCGGAAGCCGATTGATCGGCTTGGCAAGAGCGGGACGACGGGGAAGTCGAATCGGAATCAGAGATGATCATTGACTGCGAAAGAAGGAACTGACCTGAAGTCGGAGGA